ATGGATCAGAACAAATGCTCACATTAACCTCATAAGCAATGTGTAATACAAATTCTTGCTCCATATATATGTCAACATCAACTGTTAACAGAATGAGAAAGAATTAATTGCATTTACAATTTTATTTTATTTGTTTTTAGCTTTTCTCTTCAGATCACGTGCTGTGACCTTTGGTATTTTCTTGGTCAGTTTTGTGCCTTTTAGGGTTTTCTTTAGTCCTTTGCCAGCAGCAGGCTTGGGTACTTTTTTCAGTCCTTTTTTAGATATGATCTGCCAAAACAAAATAAAGATTTTATTTAAATACAAAACACACACACACAATTATGACATTACCACATCAATGCAGTGTAAATATTGGTTTTATTAACTGTCCCTTGTGAGACGGACAGACACTGACCTCCAGTTTTGGCTTTTTGGTCGGCGTCTCGATTGGCACCAGCTGTGGTATTTCCTCCTCTTCATTGTCTTTTTCTTCCTCGGTTTCTTTTGTTATCAGCTCTGACACTTCTGTTTTATCGTTTTCTCTCTTCCTCTTTTGTGCTCCCTAAAAATTAAAGGGTAAAACTAATGACTTCTCATTTTACAAAAAACTATTTTTGGCCACATGTGTTTTGCATTTGTTAAGCAACTTCACCTTTGTTAAATGGGCTTTCTTGCGGGCCTCCTCCACCAATGCGAGATGACTCAGGTCAGAAGTGTAGATGGGCAGCGCAACTGAGGTCTGACTCTTCAAATGGATGATTTTGATGTTTTTTCCTGTCTGAGAGGGAAACATAGATTAGAGGTTGTAGGTCAAAACTTGAGGAACAGAAACAAACATCATCCTGTTAAAAACACATGAATAGGCAAAGAAAATAATGAATACCAAATGATACTGCACAAAAGAGGGCTGCTTACAAAAAACACAAAACTCTTACTCACCTTTGCTAACTTTGCTGAGATGGTGGAAACCGCTGTCATCACATTCTCAACCACCTCATCTGCTGTCATGCCTGAATGTGCTACACGTACCATGCTGTA